CCCTCCCACCCACAACCCTCCCCTCTCCCGCTCTCTCTCCCCTTCCATTCATATCAAGATTCATTTTCAATTATCTTTATATACAGAAGATCAATTTAGCATATTTTAAGTAAAGCTTTCAACAGTTTGCAGCCACACAGAAACACAAAGTGAAAAATACTGTTTGAGTACTAGTTATAGCATTAAATCACGATTTACAGCATATTAAGGACAGAGATCCTACATGAGGAGTAAGTGCCTAGTGACTCCTATTGTTGACTTAACAAATTGACACTCTTGTTTATGGCATCAGTAATCACCCTAGGCTCTTGTCATGAGTTGCCAAGGCTGTGGAAGCCTTTTGAGTTCACCGACTCTGATCATATTTAGACAAGGTCGTAGTAGAAGTGGAAGTTCTCTCCTCCCTTCAGAGAAAGGTACCTCCTTCTTTGATGACCTGTTGTTTCTACTGGGATCTCACTCGCAGAGATCTCTCATTTATGTCATTTCATTTTTTTTTTGCCACAACACTGTTATTTATAACATCAGTAATCACCCGAGAACTTCTAATGAGCTGCCAAGTCTATGGAAGCCTCTTCAGTTCACAAACTCTGACCTTATTTAGACAAGGCCATAGTCAAAGTGGAAGCTCTCTCCTCCCTTCAGATAAAGGTATCTCCTTCTTTGATAGCCCATTCTTTCCACTGGGATCTCACAGAAATCTCTCATTTAGGTCATTTTTTTGCCACAGTGTCTTAGCTTTCCATGCCTGAGAAATTCTCATGGGCTTTTAAGCCAGATCTGAACGCCTTAAGGGCTGATTCTGAGGCCAGAGTGCTGTTTAGGACATCTGCCATTCTATGAGTCTGCTGTGTATCCTGCTTCCCATGGTGGATCATTCTTTCCTTTTTAATTTTATCAGTTAGTATTAGCAGACACTAGTCTTGTTTATGTGATCCCTTTGACACTTAATCCTATCATTATGATCAGTTATGAACTTAAACTTTATGTATCCCTTTTAATCCCTTAACATTTTTTTTTAAATAGCTAGGTGTCCTGTTGTTGAGTACATATACATTTATTAGTAATATCTTCCTGTTGAATTGATCCCTTAATCATTACCTTGTTCCCTTCTTCGTCTCTTTTATCTGTTTTTGTGTCAAAGCCCATTTTGTCAGATTTTAGGATGTCTACACCAGCTATTTTTTGTTTTCTTTTTTGGAATATCTTTTTCCATCCTTTCACTTTCAGTCTGTTTATATTTGTTGGTGATATGTGTTTTATGTAGGCAGCAATTAATGGGTTTTGTTTTTGAATCCATTAAGCCTGTCTGTATCTGTCAACTGGAGAGTTGAGGCCATTTACATTCAAGGTTGTTTTGATAAGTAATGACTTGGCTCTGCCATTTTCCATTAAATATTCCTGTTGTTTACTTTGGATTTCCTTTGTACTTTTACAAAGTATGAAGGGAGATTTTCAGCTTTCACCTTCTTTCATAGTGATGACCGTATTTCTGTGTGTAGCATATTCTTAAGCTTCTTTTGTAAGGCTGGATGAGTGGTGAAAGATTCTTTCAATTTCTTTTTGTTATGGAAGATATTTATTTCATCTTCATTTATGAATGAGAGCTTTGCAAGTTGGGTTGACAGGTTTTTTTCTTAAGACTTGGAATATATTTTATCTATTCTCTTTTTCCTGTAGGGTTTCTGATGAGAAGTCAGCTATGAGTCTAATTGGAGATCCTCTGAAAATAATCTGGTGTTTCTCTCATACACATTTTTTTTTATTTTTTTAACTTTTATTTAATGAATATAAATTTCCAAAGTACAGCTTATGGATTACAATGGCTTCCCCCCATAACATCCCTCCCACCCACAACCCTCCCCTTTCCTACTCCCTCTCCCCTTCCATTTACATCAAGATTCATTTTCGATTCTCTTTATATACAGAAGATCAGTTTAGCATACATTAAGTAAAGATTTCAATAGTTTGCACCCACACAGAAACATAAAGTGAAAAATACTGTTTGAGTACTAGTTATAGCATTAAATCTCAATGCACACTAAGGACAAAGATCCTACATGAGGAGTAAGTGCACAGTGACTCCTGTTGTTGACTTAACAAATTGACACTCTTGTTTATGGCCTCAGTAATCACCCTAGGCTCTTGCCATGAGCTGCCAAGGCTATGGAAGCCCCCTGAATTCACCGACTCTGATCATATTTAGACAAGGCCATTGTCAAAGTGGAAGTTCTCTCCTCCCTTCAGAGAAAGGTACCTCCTTCTTTGATGACTTGTTCTTTCCACTGGGATCTCACTCGCGGAGATCTTTCATTTAGGTTTTTTTTTTTTTTTTTCCCCAGAGTGTCTTGGCTTTCCATGCTCTCATACACATTTTGAATCTTTTTTTTTAATGTTTTACTGTGGAAAGTTTACTACAATGAATTGTGGTGAAAATCTTTTCTAGTCATTGTCTATTAGGAGTTCTTTGTGCTTCCTGTATTTGGACATCCCTATATTTCTCCAAATTAGGGAGGTTTTCTGTAATTACTTCACTAAAAGCCTTCTAATCTGTTCCCTTTTTCCATGGCTTCAGGAACTCCTAAGACTGTATGTTGGGTCATTTGCTAGTATATCATAAATCTCTAACTCTGTTTTTAATTTTTCTATTTTCTTCTCTGTTTTTGGGCTATTTAATTTCCAGAGATTTGTCTTCTAACTCAGGTATTCTTTCTTCTGTCTCACCAATTCTGTTGTTAAGGCTTTCCACTGCATTTGTTATTTGATTGAGTTCTTTATTTCTCATATTTAATTTTGATTTCTCTTCACACTCTCAATTTCATGGGAAAAACTTTAGTTCATCTGATGTATGGATTTCTTTAATTCATGGATTTGCTTTTGATTCCTTGTATTTAATCCATCATCAGTGTTTTGAATTCCATTTCTGGCATTTCATTAATTTCTTCAGCTTCACATTCTAGTGTTGAGTGTTATGTTCTTTTGGTGGTGTCATGTTCTCTTCCTTATTCTTGTTTCTTAAATTTATGCATTTATTTTTATGCATTTGTGGAGATACTTGTTGAATTTTTTTTTGCTTTTATCTTTGGACTTTCCTCTGTGGGTTAGTGGAGTGTCTGCTATTTCAGTGAATACCCAGAGGCATGTTCTGGGTGTGGTGAGGGAGCCCTTTTCAATGTTCCAGGGTGAGGGGAGTATCCATGGTGACAACCAAGTTGGTTGTGGTAAGTATCCTCTTTGTTTATCAGAGGCAAGGATTCAGAGGCAAGGGTTTGATCAGCTCTGTTGGTACAGTCTCAAGTTTACCTTCTCTTCTCCAAGGCACTTGTCTGACTTCAGTATCAGAGTAATGTTGGCTTTTTAAAATTAGTTGCGATGCATTCCTCCTTTGCTATTTTCTGGTAAAGTTTGTGCAGAATTGAATTATTTATCTCTTAAATTTATCATTGCCATGGTCTGGACCTGATTTTTGTTATTGTTGTTGTTGTCAGCATTGTATTTTGATACTGATTTGGATTTTAGAATCAAGCAACCTTACATTCATATTTGACTCTTTTGATTTCTCCTTCTGAGACATTGGTTAAGATATTCATTTCTTCTAAGCCCAGAGGCCTCTATAAAATGGGTGTTTCTAAAGATTAAATATATGTCAGATGTCCAATACTATACCTGTTTTCATATATTGGCATTATATTAAATTATTGTACATTTATTATTATACTTCACTATTTACTGTGTGATGCTAAGCTCTACTATACTGCATGGTACTATACTATACTATGCTATGCTATACTATGCTATGCTATACTATGCAATACTATACTATACTATGATATTATATAGTCCTCATTTTGCAGATAAGAAAGCTACTGCAAGGGAGATTAAACCAACTGTGCAGGTTTCTTCAGTTTGTGACGATAGAATCAGAATTTCAATTGAAGCTGTCTTTTTCCAATGTTTTGTCTTTTTAGCACTACTCTATGCTAAATAACACCTATCTTTCAGAGTCACTATCAGTACTAAATGAGGCAATTCATGTATACAACTAAATTTATGCTTGTACAAGGTTGTTGTTTAGTATGTATTTATTGCTATTAATAATTGAATTTTTATTATTTTGGAATAAATTGATTTGGACCGTTTTCCAACTGCAATGTATTTTAGTATGTATAAATAATCATATACTGTTTTAAATTTCACTGCTATGAAATTCTTTAAGCATTTGTTGCATTTTTAAAAGTGATATTTTGAGCAACAAATCTAATTAGGAATTGCAACTTCAATTCTCGCCCTGGTTCAGCACTGTCTTTTTGTGCAATCTTGGTAATTAAACCTCTTGAGATATACAATGAGGGTATGAAGACCATCTGTTATCACCACTTTGACCTAACGTGTTGAGTGGTTTAACAAAGAAGACGCTTTGAGAAGCACAGCTAGTGCTAATATTAAATACACTTATTTTTTGTTTAGTGATATAAATTGGGATCCTTTGTTAATATATAAGTATATTTTGAAAGGGCTCTGAACAACATATTTAATGTGGCTTGGTGCAAATAGGTGCCATTTAATTTCAGGTTTTCAAACCTTCCTGGTGATTACTTAGGCTTCCTTTACTTTTCATGTTCTCCAGATGAGGCAATGACTACCACTTGCCAACATGTTGGATCCAATCTATTTGAAAATCTTAAAGGATAACCTAAAAAGTGGAACCACAGTTCAATATATAGTTTACCCTATGTTTCAGTCAGCAAGACTTTTTAAAGATTTTTAAAAATGATAAAACTCATTTTGTAAAAACAAATATATGCTGGTATAATGTGTTTATGCCATTTATTAAGAATGGGAATGGTGTGGAAGGTTGTCAGGCATTTTTTACAGAGAGGGAACAAAGAAAAGCCTTCTCTTAGGAAATGTAGTAGTTATTGTGCAGAAGGTCAAATGCTGGGGAACAACGCTATTCTGGAAAAATATAATAACACATTGCTTTGTTTTGTGAATTGTAGCTGACTTTGGCCTGGCAAAGCAAAAGCAAGAAAACAGTAAACTCACATCGGTTGTTGGAACGATCCTGTATTCTTGGTAAGGGCAATTATTTTGTGGCTCTCAAACATCATATTTTATATGCTTGGGCTGTAATTTCTATTCTTGACTTGTGGAGGAAAGAGAACCTTAAGAATCTTAAGAAATAAGCTTATTTAATAAATTTCCCTCAATTACCTAGGTTAATATACATGATAAAATTGCAGATCATTATGTGTACTTAAAACAACCACAAAAAAGATAATCTTTCTTCCAAAGTAGCCTTTCCCCTCATGGGGACTAATTTTATAACTTATAAATTGAAATGATCCTTGGAACGTAATCGGTGTGCAGAGGCTGTTGACTTAATCTGATAATGAACTAGCAGATATTCTACCTAACTTGACACTTGGAATATTTTATTATACTTTTATACCTTCTTGTATGCAGGACTCTTTTCCTCTTTTCCACCTGTAGATATTCAAGGTCAGGAAAAGATTTTTTTCTGTCCTATTACCTACTCCACAGTACCTGGCACATAATAGGTGTTGAATAAGTTTTATTGTATGAATGAATAAATGATGACATATTCAGCCATATGTGTAAATGAGTGTTTACATTTTGATGAACTTGTAACTTTTATAGTGCATTTTGAGGGTTCCTCTGCAAGCCATTAATTATTATGATGGGAGTACTGTCTTTTGCTGATCACATATAATTTGCCTGAATCTGTTGAAATGAACAAAGTGACATGTTAGTCAGTCGAACAACAGGTTTCAGGGATGTAATCTGAAATATGATTCAGCAGGTCAAGAAATCAAAGCACTTCTGTTTTCCTTTTTAATTCTGGAGATAGAACTGAGAGTGAATCTTTTTGAAGGAGGTTGGAAATTGTCTGGAAATAACAGTACCATTTTATAAAGTTCTTTCACACAAGAATGTTCAGTGTTTTTGGAGAGTGACTTTTCATTTGTTTTCCTGAAAGTTCTGAAAATAGTTTCATGAGAACATCCAAAGGAATTGATGACCAGGCTAATATTGTGCCTTGAAAATTCAAGTTTATGTATATAATTAACCTCTTAACAATAAGGCTGACACATCCATTACTTGTAGCTGAAAGAGTAATTTTCTTTTGTTTCACCTTGCATTATTTTTCAGAAATAGTGAAAATTTGATTATAAAAGTGTTAAGTAATCAGTTATGTAGGAACAGATTTTATTGTTAATAAAAGTTACAGAAAAATAAATTACAAAGTTAAATTTCAGTTGGTTATTCTTGGTATAAACATTTTATTACAGAGACTTAATTAAGTTTAGAATTGCTAAGATACTAGTATCAACTGTGTGTGTGTGAGAGAGAGAGAGAGAAAGAGAGAGAGAAATTATTTTAGAGTATGTAGAAAGAAATCTAAAATATGAAGCTATTTTGCTTTATTTGCCAAAAGATGAGTTAATATTTTCCTTTATTTTTTAAATTAACTGAACAGTTAAGAAAGATGAACTCACTAATATAGATAAGCTATTATTTGATATAGGTATGTATAGCATGATTGTGTTAATTAAATGTATAGTCTATCTTATTACTATTCTTCTTTCTATCAAGCTCTTTGTTTTTTAATTGCTTTAAAAAGTTTCTCCCTTCTCACCTTTATTATCTTATTTCTCCCCAAGTCATAAGAAATGTCCTTTGTGTAATGTGTTTTACTGTGAGCCACCTTTCTTTCTAGTTCTTGATATCATCAACTGAGCATAAAGTTGAAAGTGTTCCATATTGAATTATATTTCATTACTTTCTCAGTTTGTGATTCTCCAAAAGCAGATGATGAGACAAGGAATTATGTGCAGTTCATTTGGGAGGTGGTCCCAGGAAACACTGGTTGGAAAGTGGAGGGATGAGATAGGGAAGGTAAGATAGCCCATACAGTAAACATTAATCAGGTTCATTGAGTATTATCTGGAAGAGAGGGTAGAGGGTGTTTTAGGGTTTTCCTATATGCTAGATGAGAATTATAGGTAGGTATGTATTTACTTTTTTCGAACTACAGTAAGAGACCTTAGCAATTTTTTTAAAAAGGTTTTTTTTTCTTTGAGATAGAGAATGATCTTCCATCTGCTGGTTCACTCCCCAAATGGCTTCAATGGCCAGGGCTAGGCCAGGCTGAAGCCAGGATCCAGGAGCTTCTTTTGAGTCTGCATCAAGGAAGCAGAGGCCCAAGGACTTGGGTCATCCTCTGCTGCTTTCCCAGGTACATTAACAGGGAGATGGATAGGAAGTAGGGCAGCTGGGGCCATCACTGGTGCCCATATGGGATGCCAGCATTGCAGGTGGCGGCTTTACCCATTATGTCACAATGTAGGCCTTGACCTCAGTATTTGATTGAGGCACTTGGGCAAGCCTGGAGATTGGCTAGGAAAAAAGCCTTAAGGCAAGGAGTCCCCAGGGAATTCCTAAGCTATGATGCCCTAGACTTGTACTGGAAATATTAGAGGGACAGCAACTGGTCAGGGTCCTGACATTGTCATCTGTGTAATCTCTCAAGCCCTTGTTGTTCCAAATTTAGCTGTTTCCTAGTAAATTGTTTAGTATGTCCAGTTTCTTTTAAATTTAAAGTCATTTGGGCATTTTCTCTGTGCTTTGTGAATTGGACAAAAATAAAACAGATATCTTTTTAGTCATTGCTATGAGTCTCTCACCTCATGCTTTTTCTTGAATTATCCCTTCATCTGGGCTATTTCCCTCCAAGTTATATGATTTTCAAAAATGCTTAATTTTGTATACTTGAGAGGCAGAGTGTTACTGGGATCTTGAGAGGAAGAGAGAGAGAGAAGAGAGATCTTCCATCCATTGGTCACTCCCCAAAATGCCTGCAGTAGTAAAGCATAGGCCAGGCCGAAGCTAGGAGCCTGGAACCCCATGTAGGTCTCCAACATGGGTGGCAGGGGCCCAAGCACTTGAGCCATTATCTGCTGCCAGCTAGGATGAATTAGTGGATCTGCAGTGGAAAAGACAAGACTCCAACTGGCATTCCAATATGGGCTGCAAGCATCCTAAGTGACAGTTTAACCTGCTGTGCCACAATGCCTGCCTCCAAATTATGTAATTTTGTTTTAATCTTTTTGAACGTATGTGAGTTTGTAAAATGTGTACCTGGGATGCCCAGAGAACATCTATTCTTGCCCTCCAGGGTCTCCAGAGTTTGATATTCCCATCTGATTGTACAGTGTCCCTTCCCAGACATTAACTATTCAATGGAATAAATTCTTTTTTAAAAATTTTGTTTAAGGAATACAACTTCATGCATTTAATATATACAGATTTGGAAACATGATACTTTTTCCTCTCCCACCTCCCTCCCACCCATACCCCCACCATTTTTCCTTCTCCCTCTTCCTTTCCCATTCTTATTTTTTACAGAGATCAATTTTCAGTTAATTTTTATACTCATAAGATTAACCCTACAACAAGTAGAGAGTTTACCAATTAGTATGATGAAATAAAAGGAACAAAAACAAAGAAATAAACAAACAAGAAAAACATTGTTTCCCGACAGTCAGGGCAAGGGGGTTGTTAAATCATGGCATCTCAAAGTGTCAGTTTTGCTCCTGTAGATTATATTTTAAGCACCTATTAGTTACCACAGTTAGAGAGCCCACATGGTATTTGTCTTTTTGTGACTGGCTTATTTCACCAAGTATAATGGTTTCCAGTTGAATCTATTTTGTTGCAAATGACAGGATTTCTTTTTTTAACCACTGTGTAGTATTCCATAATGTACATATACCATAATTTTTGTAGCCAGTCTTCGGTTGATGAACGTCTGGGTTGATCACATATCTTAGCTATTGTAAATTGACATGAAATGGACATGTGACTACAGATAACCCTTTCATATGCTGATTTCATTTCCTTTGGATAAATTTCCAGGAGTAGGATGGCTGGGTCATATCATAGGTCTATATTCAGCTATCTGAGATATCTTCATTCTGTCTTCCACAGTGGCTATACCAGTTCACATTCCTACCAACAGTGGATTAAGATTCTCTTCTCCCTACATGCTTGCCAGCATTTGTTGCTTGTTGATTCTGTATGTGAACCATTTTAATGGGTGTGAGATGAAACGTCATTGTAGTTTTGATTTGCATTTCCCTGATGACTAGTGATCCTGAATATTTTTCTGTGTGTCTGTTGGCCATTTGAATTTCCTTTCTAGAAAAATGTCTGTTCGGTTCCTTTGTCCATTTATTAATTGGATTGTCTTATTGTTGTTGAATTTCTTGAGTTCTTTATAGGTTTTTGAGAGTTAGTCTTTTGTCAGTTGCATTGTTTGCAAATATTTTCTCCCATTCTGTAGGTTGTCTCTTCACTTTCCTGAGTGTTTCTTTTGCAGTGCAGAAGCTTCTCAATTTGATGTAATCCCACTTGTTAATTTTGGCTTTGATTGTCTATGCTTCTGGAGTCTTTTTCAGAAAGTCTTTTCCTATGCCAATGTCTTATAGGGTTGCCCAATGTTTGCTAGTAAGTTGATGATATCACATTATAGATTTAGGTCTCTGATTGATTTTGAGTGGATTGTTGTGTAAGGTGTGAGGTAGGGGTCTTGTTTCATGCTTATGCATGTGGAGATCCAGTTTTCCCAGCACCATTTGTTGAAGAGACTATCTTGGTTTCAGGAGTTGATTTTTGATCTTTTGTCAAAGATAAGTTGGTTGTACATGTGTCAGTTTATTTCTGATGTTTCTATTCTGCTCCTTTGGTCTACATGTCTGATTTTGTGCCAGTACCACACTGTTTTGATTGTAACTGCCCTGTAGTATATCTTGACATCTGGCACTGTGATACATCCAACTTTGTTTCTGTTGTTCAAGATTGCCTTAACTATTTGGGGTCTCTTGTGTTTCCATATGAATTTTCCATATGAATTTGTGTTTCTATATGAATTGTAAGATGTTGTCTGTAGGTTTGTATAAATTGCTTTGATTATGTTGAGGACTATTCTGTCCATACCCAAAATTTGCTTAAGGTTTTCATCATAAAAGGATGTTGGGCTTTGTCAAATGCTT